ATTATATACATTAGGTATAGTGATATATGATCTTTTCCCTGATATAATTAAGTGTCTAATTCCTTCTTATGCATATGAGCATGAAGTATTTAAAAAAAAAAATTGAAGCAACAACCAAAAAATCAACATATATAAAGGAAACATCGTTGTTAAAATTGAAAAAAAAAAAAATTCAAATTTCTACGGTTAGAAGTTAAGTTAATTGATTTTGAAAAAATAAACAAATTACGACTCATACTAAAATAGCATTCAAAAAAACTGAAGGTTTATCACTCCAAGATCATTTTCAGCTTATTTAACTTTTTTAATATTGAAACTAATTTATCAATCTGCTGACTTACTTTAATTATAAAATAATATAGAAAGTTTTCACTAATAAACCTACAACAAAAAGATTGTTATATAAATGTTCTATGTAGTCAAGGACCCCAGCCATTTTAAAAGTTCTAAATTTTTAAAAATTAATTGACGCATGCGTACCTAAACAAAGCGCGTTTTCCTAATATCGAAACAACCGTGATATATATATGATATATATATATATATATATATATATATATATATATATATATATATATATATATATATACATATATATATATATATATATATATATGATATATATATATATATATATATATATATACATATATATATATATATATATATATATATATATATATATATATATATATATATATATATATATATATATATATATATATATATATATATATATATATATATATATATATATATATATATATATATATATATATGTATATATATATATATACATATATATATATATATATATATATATATATATATATATATATATATATATATATATATATAAAAGCAGAGCTTTGTCTAGGGGGCTCATTTGAAAATTTAGGGGCCCTTTTATAAATGTAAGGATTTTTTTTTATTTAGTATTTTTATTTACATTTTTTTTATCTATTGAAATGTTTTCAAGAACTTTGGGGCCCATATGACAGGCTTTTTTTTTGAATGGGAGGGGGGCTTGTATCTAGTAGCCACGGCACTGTATTTAAGGTATATACAATATATGAAATAAACGAAATATACAATATATTGAAATAAACGTTGATTATAAAACTAAAGGTTATGTTTTTCTTCCTGCGATAGTGAAAGTTACATTTTTTATCTGAACAGTGTTGGAAGAAATTGAAAGAGTTTTATAACATATTAAAAGTAATGTATGTGTTACCTACAAAATTTTAAACAAACAGTTAAATTTTATTTTTTTACAGTTCATATTGAAACGAGATACTGTGTAAAAAGGTTTTTAAAGAAGTCGTTTTAACAACAATGGAAAAGCTTCAAATTCCCAAGATAACCTTGAAAGCATTCGACACATGATTAAAGAATCGTTTCAAAGTTTGCTTAATTTCGACAAAGTAATTTTAATTACTATTTTTTTAAAATAAGCCAATCAATTTTTAAATAAATTTGCTTTTTCTGTAAACTTTAAAGATTTAAACGTAGTTTTGCAAGATTTGCAATGGGTAAACCTCGTGGGACCCTCACGGGATACCCGGCGGGAATACCCATATGGGCCCCAGAAGAAAACCGCGGCTAAGATCCGGCGGGTTCCCGATGGGTTTCCCATTTGTTAACCCAAATGGGTCCCTTACAGTTTTAAAGACGGTATTTGACTGGGTTTCATACGGGATACCTGGCGGGCTTTCCCATATGGGTTCCATATGGAAACCGCGGTCATAATCCGGCGGGATACCGTTAGTCATCCCATACAGGACCCAGTTGACAACCCGTATAGGCCCCGTACAGTACCCGTATGTCAATGTTGGATTGGATGTTCATAATTTTCTAAATAAATTTCTTGCGCGCACTGAAATTAATTGGTCAAAAATAATCACTAAAACTTTATTTGCTACATATTTTTGCTACATATTTGCATACAATTGGCTACATATTATTCACTATATATCACTTTATATAATCAATGTAATCATATTTCCAGACTGATTAAAATACATTCCCAGATCGTCCAAAAGGTTGTGCAAAATAACCTAGATACGAATGTCATCGCTGTGTGTTTAGCCGAATTAAAAAATTTCCGTTTACGTTTCTGACAGCAAAAACGCCAAGCCACTGCCAAATATATAAATTATCGTATACTATTTTAACGACAAAAACGGCTAGCCACCTCCCAAGGATCGTGCACCTCCAAACGTAGCCTACATACATTTATAGGCAGATACGCATACATCCATTTTTTTAAATTATTTTTATGATATGTTATCATCCGCATAAACAAACTGTTTTCATTTATTAAGGTAACTTTTAACCATATTATTAATATAATATATATTATAGTAATTCCGTACCACTCCAACTTTTTAAAAATAATTTTGTGATCAATAGTATCAAAAGCTTTTGCCAAGTCAATGAAAACAGCTAAAGTAAATTGAGATTTTTCAAATGAGTCAAATATATTTCTTGTGAATTGTAGAATGGCATGTTCAGAAGAATTGTTTTTTTGGAATCCATATTGATTGCTGTATAATAAATTTTTTATAGTAAGATGATTATAAATTTTATTGTACAAAATTCTTTCTAAAACTTTAGAGAATACAGAAGTTAGTGAAATGGAACGGTAATTACTTATAATCTCAATGTCACTACCTGTTAATATTGGTATAACTTTTGCTAATTTTAGCGCTTGTGGCAAAATTCCCTGTTTAATTGATATTAAAAAAATCTTAAAGAGTATATCTTTTAAAACATCAAATGAACTTATAATAATGTTGCCATTAATACAATCAGGGCCTGTTGCTTTCTTAGATTATAACATTTGAAAGCCAATTTCAAATTCGTCAAAAGATAATTCAGATGAATTCAAGTAAGAGTTTGGAGGGAAATATACATCATTCATTAAAATGTTAGCTATTGGAACTCTTTTTGCAAGATTTCGTTTTGTCTAGTAAATTTACAGACGCAAAATATTTATTAAATTCTTCTGTAATTTGTTTTTTAGCATATAAAAATTTATTATTATGTTTAACCGTGTTTGGCAAAGAGTGAGATGTTCATTTTTTGCTGCCAGTATTTTCTCATATTATAACCAAGTGCGTTTAAAATTTAATTTATATTTGTCTAGTAAATTTAAATCACATTTTTTTTGTTTTTTCTTAAGGCTTTTAAATAGTTTAGCGTAATTTTTATAAATAATTTTATTTTCATTTGTTTTACATTTTAAGTAATTAAATATAATTTTTGTTTAATTTCTGAAGACTTCCGTATACCAAGGCGACTTAATACTTTTAGCTTTGAGATTTAAATTAACTTCAGGGAAACTAGTGTCGTAAATATCTTAGAAAGTTTTAAAAAAGGAGTTATAAATTAAGTTTGTATCATCAGATGCGTTGAAAATAATCCAATCAATTAGAGATAATTGTTCTATAAAAGATTCAAGGTTGTCATTTGTAAATATGCGCTTTTTGAAAACTCGTTTTTCATCAGAAATAATTTATCATCTATATTTATAGAAAAGAAAATAGGTAAATGATTAAAAATGTCATTTTTAATTATGCCCTTTTTTTAAGGATTCGTTAAAAACATCAGTGGTTAAAATATTATCAATTAAAGAGGCACTTGATTGAGTAATTCTTGTCGGTTTGCTAATCAAAAGAATCGCACCATTTTCAAAAATGCCATTATAAAATCTTTTAATATTATTATTGACATGGTATTGAAAACAATCTATATTGAGATCACCTAATAAGTAGATAAATTTATTTTCGTGGTTACTTTTTTAAAAAAGTCATTACATAAAAACGAATTAAAATTTTTAATTTCACCTGAAGATGGGCGATAACAACAACTTAGAATTTTATTTTTTATTTGATTGGTTAAAATTTCATTCTTTAAAACCTCTTTATCAGCATTAGAGATGCTCATGTCATGCCGGGTAAAATATCGTAAGTTACTTTTAACATAAATAAGAAAGCCTCCGTCACGTTTATTTGTTTTTCGATACTAAATATAACCAGATTTCAAATTTCTGATATCCATTACCTATATTTAGACATAAAACATGTACCATCTAATTGAATATTCCAGGACCACCTTTGACCACTCCTAAACCGACCATTTGAGCAATCAAGACCTCCTCTTAAGACCGAATATGCCCAGATTTGAATTTCCTGACCACAGTTACCTATATTTAGATATACAACATTTACCATTTAATTTAAAAACCACCAAACCACCCCATGACCACCCTTGACAACCCCTAAAATAACTACTTGTGTGGTCATGACTTCTTCAAAATTAAAATAGAGCCCAAAATGAAATTCTTGACCTTAAAAACTTTTATAAACAAGTACCATATGTCTATATTTAACCTATAAAAAGTTTCGCCATTTTTAGGCAATTCTGGCCCACTCTGCTACGCCTTAATATATTATATATTAAAGCGAATCACTTTAATAAACAATGCAAAAGAATTTTAAAATCTCTTATATCATCTTTACTTATAATCAAATATGATTAAAATTTAGTTTTGAGTAAAATATTAAAACAAACGGTTTTTATAAATAGTCGTAAATTTTTCCAATTTGACGGTGCACGAGTAATTTTTTCCAATTTGACGGTGCACGTCCTATTTGACGCGTTTTTATGACTTAAATGTATGAAATAAGTAGTCAAAAAGCTCGTGCTAGAAAATCAAATGAAAAAAGTTTACATTTTGAATACCAAAAAAGCATTTGAAACAAGTAATCAATATATTAAAAAAATATATATATATATTAAACAAAAAACTTTTTTATTGTTTCAATTAAGAAGTGTTTTTTTTACTCAAAAGTTTGTCTTTTTAATCAAAGCAGTTGTACATTTTCATTAAAAAAACAAAATGTAAATAAAGCTTTTTTTTTTTTTTTAAATTACGAAATATGAACTATGAAATGTAAACAAACAAAACTGTAATTAGAACTGAATTTTTTCATTAAAAATTGCATGCAAAATGACGACTAAAGTGATGGTTTCGTAATGAAATCGTATTTTTTTATGATTTTATGATCGCATAAAAGATGAATATATGGGTTTTTTTTGTAACTTTTTTTGTGTTTTGCCAAATAGAGATATCTTTATCCAATTTAGAAAGATGTCCACTTATTTCGGGCATATCTATAGAAAATAGTAATTTAACAACAGATCTGTTTCTATGGAGCCAATTATATTCGTTTTGCATTCATATTACAAGTGTAAGTTAACTTTTTATACAAAAAATTTTCTAATGAAGTTTAATAACTTTCAAAGTATTTGCTAAGTTTTTTTCAATTTAGCTTGATTTATTGAGTACAAGTGGTCGTTCTTCTTGTTGTCAAGAGGTATAAATGCTAGTTTGGTTTACACACACACACACACTCACACACACACACACACACACACACACACACATACATATACACAAACATATAAATGTTAACTAAATTTGCTTATTTTATTTATGCTGTGGCTAGCGCAACGATAACGTTGCTCTAATTTGTTATTGTTAAGTCACGCTAGTAAAGTCGGATTGGTTCATTTAAAGTCACGGCAACTAGTATGACTGGTTTATTTTAAAATTTTTACTTTTATAAACTTCGAAATTCGCATGTTTATTTTTGCAGTACTCAATGTAATTTTGGCACTACAGCTGATTATAAACAATCATATATAAAATTCACTTGTTTCAGATGTAAAGTATTGGAACCAACTATTTCTCAAACCTCCACATAACACATAGCCAGAAAAAAGAAACGCTTTAAATATTGCATAGTGATGAGTCAAAATACCACGTGTGTGAAAAAGATTATGTAGTATGTTCCCTTTGTAGCTTGGTAGCAGTCCACTGGACCAACACAAGCTGTGTTGGCCTAAAAAGGCTACAAAACCCTTTGGGTCAGCTTTAAATAACATAAAGTGTATTGTTTTAAAGACAGCAAGAAAAATGTGAAATAAAAAACATTTTTATGGTAATTGTAAAATCTGTTTTAGCTTTAAAACTCATAATTCACAAAATTAAAGTTTAATTATAGCAAAAGAGTAAGATACAAAAATTTGGCATTAGTCGGTTAATAGTTTACACAATCAAGATATTTCCATAAAATATCTGTTCTGCAAGATAAACAATTAGATTGTTTAAAGGAAAAATACAAAAGATCTTACAGTAGATTACATGAATTCTTTTAATGTTTATTTAGAATGCAATATGCCAATCAAGACTTTTTAATTTATATAACTTAATATAGTTTAATTGCGATGAATTATGAAATCCTAAACATTAGCTTTTATTGCAAGACCTGTAAAGTTCTTGAGCACTATTTTTAGGTGAGGGCTTTGCTACTACTTTAACTATTGCAAGGATATTTTTATGGATTTAAACACTTTGTAAAATCTTTAGCTCCTTTGATCTATAATCACGTAAATTAAGGACGTTTTTTAATTTTGTTTAAAACAATATTGAGTTTTGAGACTTTATAAAAGTCTTAAATTTTGTATTAAAAAAAAAATACTTAAAGAAATTTTTTTAAAACATAAAAAGAAGTAGTTGTATCAAAAAAAAAAAATTTTTTTTTTTCTATTTGTTTCATTCAAACCTTAAGTTATAGATGAGGTTTTTATAAACATTTTCGATTTTAGTTTTTTAATTTGCCTAAACTATGTTGAGTAACGCTCCAAAATGTGAGAGTGGGGAACAAAGAACGAAAATCACACAAAGATTGAATTTTAGAATAGATGGATTATAGGTTTTGAGGTTTAAGCTAGCATTCTTTAAACGTAAAAAGATCGCAACTAAAAAAATCTAAGTATAGTATATTAAATAAAGTTTCCTAATAATAACTATCAATATAACGAAGATAAATTAACAATATATTAGCTATACCAGTGTTTAAAAGTTTAAAAGTTAATACAAAAATTACGCTTAACATTTTTAATACGTTATTTATAATAATTAAATACTCAAACAACACTTATATTTAGCCTAAAAGTTTTTTTGCTGAGCTTTCAATCTCAATTAGAAGACCAAAAGTATAAAAAAAAGTTCTAATAAACTTAAAGCTCTTGAAACCCTAAACAAATTTAAAGCAAAATGGAAGCAAATGCTTTTGGTAAGTGACGGAGTGTATGGCTTCTTCTGATGTTATCTGGTAGGTACAGATAAGCTTTTTAATTATTTTATAAAGTTTATCTTTTATCCAAGTGTCGCTTTGATTGAATTATGTTAAAAAATGTATTTTTTTAATTTAGAGACATTCAGGTTATTATCGATTTTGCTTTTGACTAATAATTTTAATTAGTATTTATTCTTAATTAACATATTTTTTATCTTTATTTTATAAGAGTTTAACCGATATTTTATTTTTATTTTTTTCTGTTTTTAACTTAATAGTTAACTATTTTCTATTATTAACTTGTAATTTTATTTTTCCGAAAAAGAAATTAAAACGTATAAGTTTTATTGCAAATTATATGTTGTGCAAATTATTTTTATATATATATATATTTTTTTTTCTACGAATTTGTTATTTCACTTATTTTTACGAACTACTTCATTATTTTCAATCAAATTTAATAAATATGGTTTGGTATATTTAAAAATTGCTCAATTAAATAAAAGTGTTTTAAGTTTTTGATATTTTCCTAGTTTTAAAATTATTCTTTTTTTTTTTCTAACTTTCTTTATAATTTCTTACTAACTTCCTTTTAATATAATTTCTGACTTTTTGTTTTATCTTTTCAATAAGAAAGTCTTATTTCAGGTATATTGGTAACAAACATACATGCTTTACAATCATATATGCTGTACGTAATTAACTTTTACGGAACCAATTCTCGGGACTAGGCGGTATAACAAAATGTGTTTTCTTCTTGCCCCGGCCATCTGTATTTATTTTGAAGTATACATATATATGTAGACAAATATACGCATTTACATATTTTTACAAGAAAACATGAAAGTAATAAAAAAAAATGAATTAAATAAATAAAAGAAAATTATCAAATTATTACTATTGTCTTAAGTATGCCAATTATTTCAACTGTTATTGATAGTTGCAACAATGAAAAGCTAATGATAATTTATAATAAAATAAATAATTAAAATAATAGTTTGGTTTGTTTTAAAGCTAGTTGCTAATATTTAGTCATTCTTTTTAAATTATTTTAATACACTCAAATTAAAGTTTGCGCCTAATTTCCACGTCAAAGGTTTTACCCTGTTTATAATTATTAGTATGAGCATTTTTAGATAATTCTTTGATAAAGGAGAATTCAAGTTTTGAAACCAAATGTATGTAGGGGAGAGTGGGGCACCATGACATACTTTTGATTTTTGCTTCGCAACAATTTTTTTAATACATCTTTTTTAGGCAATTAATTTAGTTAAATTTATTAATAAACAAAATTAATATGTTAAACTTGTGAGACTATTTAAAGTAAAATTAAAAAATTGTATCAACGTACCCCACCCATGGGATACCTTAACACAAACTATGAAACAAACAAATTGGAACTACTAGATTTAAATTTACATAAATCTCTTAAAAATTGAATGTAAATATTTAAAAAAATGGTTTTTAGTTTTGCTTAAGACTTAATTGAGTACTATTTTAAAGTTTTAAAGCCCCGCAAAAATGATGTATTAAGTTACACCATACTTGCCAATAGAAAACAATTGCATTATTTTTAGTATCAATTTGTTTTTTTAATGATTTTGTTTAATAAAGTAAACAGCCTACAGATTGTAGTTTACAAAATAGTGTTCGTCAACAAAATAACACAATTTTTGAAGCCTCGCAGGTCTAATGTTGTCAAATGGTATAACTTTTTTGTCAAAACATACTAATTGTTACTGTTTAAACATATGAAAATGGTTGTCACAACTCCTAATATGCCTCCACAATTACAATATTTCATGGTGCCCCACTTTTATTTTTTATATCTTATTTCATGGTGTATAAGTGTAAGTATAAATATTATATGATTTATATAAAAATATTATTACAAGTAATGTCTTTAAATTTCACAATGTATCTAAAAATGTATCAATGTATCTGCCCCACTTTCCCCTATTAGTGCAGCATAAGTATTTAACAAAAAAAGTTTTTTTTTACAGTTTTAAACAATTTTCTTATTATTTTTGCTTTCAAGGAATTTATTTTGAGTAGAAATTTTCTGAGTATTATAAAATTTGTTTAAATTTGTTTAAATTTGTTTAAATTTTTTTAAATTTGTTTAAATTTATTTAATTTGTTTAAATTTATTTAATTTGTTTAAATTTGTTTAAATTTGTTTAAATTTGTTTAAATTGGTTTAAAACTTTGTTTAAATTTTATTTTAAAAGTTAAGTTCAATTTTTATTTAGATAGATTGCTATAAAATTGTTGTAAAAAATGAAGGTCTGGATTGTAAAGTAAGTATAAATATTATATGATTTATATAAAAATATTATTACAAGTAATGTCTTTAAATTTCACAATGTATCTAAGTAGTGTGGGTTAAAATAATGTACTTATAATCTACCGCCCGGAAATTCTGTCTTTCGTAACTCCCCCTCCCTCCTCCTCTCGGCGGCACTGCTTTTAGTTCAATAACTTTGCGGAACCTAAAAGAAACTATTAAGAAAAAGAATATATTTCATAGCAAAGTATACAAATTTTATACAAAAGTTAGCAACTTTTCTGTTGTTTTTTTTGAAACTTTTCTGCTATTATAGTCTTTTGAAAAATATGAAGATACAGTCTCATTGCAAGTTAGAATTATAAATTGAACACATAATAAATTCCCTCCACATAATAAACTCCCTAAAGTTTTATTGGTTTTGTCTTCCGTCCCAACAGTAAACATAAAATAAATTCATCATTATGGCATAACCTAAAATCAAAAGTAAATTAGAAAACTCTTATTTTTTATTTTTTACAGGCAATAAAAACGTCATATAAAAGAATTGAAAAAATCTTATCTTTGCTTTTGTTTGCCGCCATACTTTTTCTAAATCCTCCTTCATTTTACATAAGACAATAGCTACGAACTCCCTAAAGTTTGATTGGTTTTGTTTTTCTTCCATCGTGTATAATATTAAATCAAAAAATTTAAGACTTATTTAATAATACATAAATCTTTGTAGAAAAATATTATATGAAAAAGCAGGTTTTCAACTTTGTACGCTTTTTATTTTTAGAACAGCTTATGTGGAAAATAAGTGAATGAAACTTTTTTTGTAAATTAAACTCACATTATTAGTTTCCGGAATTACAAAAAATAAAATATAGTATACGGATAAAAAACTTCAAAAAAACTATAAAAGACAGTAGTTACAAATTTTGTAATTGAAGTTGTAGTTTTAATAGTCTTCACATTAGTTTTTTTTTTCAAATTTGAAGAAAAAAAGGTCTTTTACTTTGTTTTTTACTTCGCATTCCCGCTCAGCTGTTCGCCAATACCCCACAATCCCTATTTGTCTTTTTTATATATAAAAATATGGATTTTAAGAACTTATTATTTTAAACATGGTTTACTGTTTATGGAGTTAATTGTTTTTCATTATAATGACATAAAGTAACCTAATTTTCTAAAATATTGCTTTGTTCACTTAAATTGTAATTAACAGGTGTTTAATGCTAAAGTAGTAAAGTTTCTTAAATTTTTCTAAGTATTTTCTTAAACAAATGTTTAACACATATTTGATATTACCAATAATCTTTATAACCAAATAAATATTTACTAGTAATGGTAATCAGTTGCCAAGGAAACATTAACATTGAGATTTTGATTAAAAAAACAAAAATTTGATAAGCTTTTGTTTTCCTACGTAAACATTTAACGCATCAGGCAAATAACTATTGCGTATTGTTATTGGCTTTAATCATGAAACAAATATTTATCAAGATTGCTGATAAAATACAATGTTAAAAGTTATTTTACGTCTGTTAAAAGGTTGCTGATAAAATACAATGTTAAAAGTTATTTTACGTCTGTTAAAAGGTTGCTGATAAAATACAATGTTAAAAGTTATTTTACGTCTGTTAAAATAACTACTGCCAAAGTTGAAAAATAAGTTGTTTCTCAATTAATTTTTTTCTTTTATAATTAAAAAATTAAAAATATAGTGCAATTTAAACCTTTATTAAAACCTAATTTTTAACAAAACATTCTTATTTGAAACGCGTTTGTTTAAATTAGTTTTATTCGTTGGTTGGTTTAATTAAAAGATAAACATGATGGACATCAAAGTGTTTCTATTAAAACTTATTAAAAAAAACTGTTTTTTATTTGTATTATATGCATGTGTATATACGTCCAGCAACGGATGAGCCCGTGTCAAAGTTGGGGAAGGGACAAATCAGGATTTAAAATAAAGTTAATTATTGTTCCTTTTAATTTTTCAAAATTCCGGGGGTTAGCTGCATCCAAACTCAGAGTCCGATTGATCCAAGTTTTAGTTTCACACATAATATTCAGATTTAAAATAAAACTCTTTATAATATTTATTTCCAATATTGTGGCAAACACATTATTTACTTGTAGCCTAACTGTTGTCATCTAGAAAAAGTTGTTTTAAGCGTCACTCGTAATTGTAGACCGATTATAAGTTTTCAATGGTCGAAGTGCAGATGTTCTTTTTTTTCTACAATAGCATTTGACATGCAGTTGAATATTTTTTAAACAACTCGTCAGCCGAGAATAAGGAGGCTGTATGTCAATTTTTTCCGAGAAAATTAAGTTTTAGGTTTTAGTGTTTAAAGACTTTGTACCTAAAAGTTCTACTAAATATTTACATATTTCTTGAAGGTTTTTTTATTTTTTGAATACCAGATTTAGTGGATGCACACTCTACTGGTTGAACAAAGTTTATTGATGTATTTTATCGCTGTTAGTCATAAGCTATTTTTGTATATAATTATGGGCTCGATAAATTTTATTAATTTTTCAAAGTTGTAAACAAAATTTTAATAAAAACAGCAACTTTATTATTATTTATTTTTAACAAGCTATTTCGGCAGTATGAAATCCTCGTGAAAATGATTAAAAAGTTTGATGGATCTGGAAATATTGTAGTATAGCTGAAAAAGTTCAAAATGGTTAGAGCTACAAAATATGGGCAATCATTCCGTTATCATTCCCTTGTTTGTTGAAGTCAGTGATTTCGCATTATCTAAGGAACTTATAGGGCTAGTCAATGTTGAAAGCAAAAAAATGTGGCAAAGTGCGTTTATAATAGGATTGTCTGGTGAAATTTCAAAGCACCTACAAGCAACTGCAATATTTGAAACTGGACGCTGTGGATCATTTAATGCTATCTTATGTGATGCAACTGTAGCAAACAATGGTAAGTTTGAGGCAGTGATAAAACTAATAGAAACAAAAATTGATAGACCAATCCAGTGGCTTATTTGTCAACTTCATTTAAATGAAATTTTATGTAAACATGCAACTGAGTTAATTGATAGAAAAACATCTGTCCCATCATCATTTAAAAGAGGTATTGGTAAAAAAATAACAATTGATTAAACTAATTTAGCAGCAGTTTCCTTTTTGAAAAAATAAAATGAACTTTTCATATACTTTCTGATAACATCCTTAATACATTAAGCTTATGTCAAAAATATTTTTACAATATATATTTATTCAATTAGGAGAGGTTTTAAATAAAATATAAAAGTTCTTCTGGAAACATTCATCAAGCTTGGTGGCTCACAAAAGCCAATCGTGTTCTACGTATATATACATTTCTACAGTAATGCCGATAAAAGAATTGTTGACTTGGTTACAAATATTATGCAATGCTTTGCACCAGGATGATTTCAGATTAAGTCACATTGTTTGGCGGTAGATGGTGCTCGAAATATATGTTATCTGGCTCAATTAATAAGAAAATTAGTTATTGGTGTAAAATACAAGAAGGTAATGGAGCAAGTTTTAAAACAAAACTCATATTTCGCCAACACTGAGAATATATTATTGGCAATGGTTAATGATGAAAGAAAAGAACTTAGAACTGCAGCCATACAAAACATACTCAAGTCCAGAAATACTAATGAACACAATAGACATTTTAAACTTCTTGTGACACTAAATCTTGGAGCCAATGATTAGAGTAAATTGGTAAATTGGGGCATTGAGGAAATTAATTCACCACCATTACTGAATGTCTTTTCAAATAAAGATATTTTGAAAGCCAATGACAGTCCATTAAGTTTTTCAAAATATCTTTGTGATAATCAAAATAAGGAAAGAATTTTTACTTACTAAAGAGTTTCTTACTTCCGATCTTTCTTGAAAACCATATATCAAATCCATTGCAAAGTTAGCATCTACTAAGGTTGCAACTCTTTATCGTGCTCGAAACATTTTTACTCCGGATTTTATTCTCTATCTTTATAAGTTTGCTCTTTTCAGCCGTCTCTCGACCATTAATAAACCAAGCAGAAAGTGTTTTTTTAAGAAGTTTTTTGATAAATTTTGTTTTGTTTTAAAGTTTGTTTATGCAACACCTAAACATACGTTAATTGAAATAAATTGCAAAAGAAATGTTACAAGAGTAAATTTCTTTTGCGATATATTTTATCCAAAAGTATGGCATTAGTTAGTCATATTACTTTAGAATTTTATGATTTGGTTCAGTTAGTATATCTTCTTGATTTAGTAGGTATGTATTGATTTGATATGTAAAAACAATTTGTTTTATTTAATAAAGCATACATGTATATTTTCTGGAATTTTCAATTTGAATATAAAGCATTTAGATTTTTAAACTTTTATAAAAAATATCATAATTAAATTAATTATTTAGCTTGTTGCTTTGCAAAAAGTTTGTTTTTCTTTTAATAATGGATTCAGTCCCTAAACCCCGAAAATATCGAAAAGGAAAAGCAAACTATTAAGCGCCGTACCTTGTAAACACAGTTGAGCAAAAAAAGATTTTGTGTTTTTGTTGTAGAATCAATTAATTTGTTAATACACAAACAAATAAGTTATAGTTATTACTTGTGGTGCTCCAATAAATTACAGTTTTTTATACTTTGAGTTCATTTCGTTGAAATAATTAAAAGAAACAATTATGTACTTAGCTACTTACCTACTTACTTACTTACTTACTTACTTACTTACTTGCTTGCTTCTTAACTTTTTTGCTTGCTTCATTACTTGCTTCTTTGCTTGCTTGCTTCATTACTTATTTTAATTACTTCCTTGCTTACACACTCGTTTTAATTACTTACTTAAGGTGAGTTTCCACTCATCTGATTTTCTACGGGAGCGGAAAAGTAATCACGTGAGCATGCACAGACAAATAGAAACTTTCAAAAAAATCAAAAAAATTTTTTTAAACAAGTTGTCGTTAATTTAAGGTATAAAAAATCTAATTTATTCATAGTAAAAAATTAAAAAATATATTCGGAAAAATTCTGAGGTCAAAAGGGTAAAAAAAAAAAAAACAGCCAATAAATTTTTGTATATTTTTATATGGGCCGTATTTTTTTATATGGCCCGTATTTTTTTATATGGCCTTATAGATCCCGCGCCAAATTCCGTGCGGTTCCAATTTAACATCCCGTATGGGTCCCACGCGGCACCCGAATCACAATGCTGGCTGGTCGTATTATACTTAAATATTATAAATAAAATACTTGCAAAGAAATATTTACTGTTACTTATTTATTAGACGTGAAGTATTTTTAATACAATAAATCTTATTTTTAGGCGCACCCTTACGGCTCAGTATTTTGATGAAATATGTAAAAGTTAAAACAATTAAACTTGTATGCATACAAAACATAAAAAAAAAAAATTAAAAAAGAAATTCAGAAAAAAAGTGTGAGTTGGTGTCTTCAAGTCCGCAAAGTTACCTAGCATAGCCTAAATAAGTTTTGTCGGGCTAACTTAACTTAGAGTAACCTATACTTTACCTAAGCCTAACCCTGTTTTTTTGTGTTTATTTCTTTAAGCACGTCTAGCTTATTTTCTTTTACTTTTTAAGTTTCATAAGAAAGTGTTTTATAGTCATCAGAGAAGTCTCAAAACTGTAAACAAAAATAATTGCTTTCTTCAGTTGTTGATGTGTACCGCTAAAGTTAAAGGTGAAGGCTTTTTCATGAATCTTCAAAGCCAAAAAGAGGTGAAACATTTATTTTAATAAAATATCAACACCATCTAAAAAACACCAGGCATTTATACTGGCTTTTATGAACATTCACTTTGAGAAACGCGACTAATAAGGAATGATGGGCAACCAGCATTATAAAGACGGAAAAACTACCTCGCGATGAACGTGAAAGAAGTATTTTCGGAAATGTTAAATCGAAAAGTGTCATTACCCAACTAAAATAACTTACTATGTTAATACTAAAAAACATTTTCTGAAAAAAAAATATTCTGTATATAACATGCTCTGAGTTTCAACAGAAGTATCCTGAAAGCAATGTAAATTTCAAACTCTATTTGAAAACATTTGAGCTGCAATTTTAGTTGAGGTTTGAATTGCTTCAAGTTGACACATAATGTGCACATAAAGCTGCACATGTGATGAGTTAGAGGTAAAATTTAAAAGTAAGTAATTAAATGACAATCTTAAGTCTGTGGTACGTTTTGCAATAGTACCACTAAACAAGATTGTATAAATGATATGATTTTTGCCTTTAAAGAGTATAATGACTTGATTCTGTTATCCTCCAAGAAATAAAATTATCTGTTGTCATTCTAAAAAATCCTGACATCACTGATTTTAAGAATGGTTGTCTCAATTTTATAAAAAAAATACAGTTATCTAATTAAACAGTTGGCCTAGGAAGAAATACGTTACATTTAAATTCAGCACTAATATGCATATGAGCCACAAAACTGAAGCTATATGCAACGTAATTTGCAAAAACCATATTAATGGATTTCAATTTTAAACATTATCTTCAACAGAAGAAGTCAAATTAAGTTAGATGTAAGTTTTCATTAAGTATTCTATGGGTACAAACTTAGTTTAGTTAGAATTGTAATAAATTTTGTAATCAACATTCATAATTTGTGCATCTATAAAATAGTTGGGCATTCTTTAAACATTTTATTTGCTTTTTTTGCAGAAAACATTGACTCGAAAAAGCGACTAAAGCGCATATATTCTACAAGTTGGACAACGCGTACTAAATCAATACATGCAATCTACGTGAACTAGTTTACAATCGTTGATACGCTAGAAGAGATAGTAATTGAAAGAGGATCAAATTATTTTGTCTAAGAAACTTTGGTTCAATTGCTGAAATGAAGTTTTTTGCACATATCTGACTATATATAGCTAATGTGTTGTCTAATGTTTTTAGGCATATGAGAATTTTGGGGCGTGTATAAGTTTTTCTACTTCTTTTGTAGTAATTAAGCATATCGAAAGAAATACATTGATAATAGCATGGAGTTTACCAAATGAGAGTTTAAGGGTCAGTTTCCCAAATAAAAGTCAATAGATTATTGTAAGGTTTAAATGTAGGATAGTTATAAGAGAGAGTTTTTAGTGCTAATGATTGACATTTTTTATATACTAAAGGCTCTTCTCTTCATACTGATATTCAGCCTTGAAGATTGCATGTTATAAATAAGATTTTATCTTAAGCATAACTTTATTTTAATGTTAAACTTTGTATTTATTATACTAAGATTTTTTTATAACTTTTTTTTCATAGAATTCCACTTTTTGCAAAATAGGGTGTCAGTTCTTCAGCAATATTACAAATACTTCAGGTATAATTTGTTAAATTCGATATAATTTTTTTTACTTTAACAGTATATCTTATCTTTAACCTTTGCATACGTGAAAAACTTTTTTCAGTGTTTTTTTTTTTCTTAAAAAAAGGAAGAGATTAAAGATTATATTTAAAACAAGTTTTTTTTTTAAAACAAGTTTTAAATTCGATTTTTACAAAATATTAATGTTACTTTGGTTAACATGTCAATGAGCATTATAGGGGTGATTCAGGTGATGACGAACGTGGGCTAACTCCTGATTTAAAATTTGTATCTTAGTTTCATGTAATTTTTCATTGCGAAACATATATGTATTGGCTATATTACGTATACAAAACCACAAAAACAATTATGTTGTTGCAATGTATCATAATCATTGAGTTTTTAAGACGAATTATATTTAGGGTATCTTAATACTACCTCATTAAGTTCATTTATTTTCATTTGCTTGGGTCGCGGGGAAATAATGAACGACCTTAGTTGGGTAATCACAAAGGCTTATTGTTTTCTCAGTGGATATGATAACACATGGACGTTTCTTGAATAAAGTTGTTATACATTATTTATATTATTCATTAATGTAAAATATGAATTTTAAACATGTTTAACTTAATGTTTAACTTTAAACAAAGTTAAACAATAAACAATTTATATATATATATATATATATATATATATATTTATAATTTATAAATATATATATATATATATATATATATATATATATATATATATATATATATATATATATAATATATATATATATATATATATATATATATATATATATATATATATATATATATGTATATATGCATAAATACATATGCACATATATATTTATAAACTGTATAATGCATATACATTTTTATATATTATATATTATAATACTTACATATGTGTGTGTGTCTGTGTGTGTGTGAGTAAATACACACACACATTTTATTAGAGATCTGTACTTTATACACATTGAGAACATTAAGAACTATATTTGTTAAACACACATTGATATTTACACACATACACACACACACACACACACACACACACACACACAAACAACCTATCACACACAATTTTACAAAAAACAAAGTTTTAATTTCTTTTTTAATAAAATAGTAAAAAACACTTATGTAGTTTTGTATTTGATTTATACTTTTACCTTCTGTAGGATAAGAAAGTATTCTGATCACCCTACAAAAAGTGAATATAATAAATTGATAAGTGTTTTTCTATATATATATATAATATATATATATATATATATATATATATATATATATATATATATATATATATATATATATATATATATATATATATATATATATATATATATATATAATATATATATATATATATATATATATATATATATATTAATTATGTAAATAAAAAAGTCAAAAAAGACTAAAAAGTTTCAACATGTCCAGTTGATTTGTTTTAAATTGTATTGGACCAATGCTAGTTATCATTAGTAGGCATATAAATTTATGTAATTTTAATTTCTTTTTTATTTTAGATGCCACTAAACTATAATAGATATAAAATTATATAAAACTGAAATAAAATACAGGCTAGAGGATTTAAAAAAAGGCCATAAAAGACGTGAGAAATAAAACTTTTTCATCAAGTCAAGCCTCTTCAGCTTATTCGGTTCCTAAAACCATCTAATATGACTACTGCAAGAAAGAATTCATAACACAACCAAAAAGCGGAGGAAAATGTATATTCTCAGATAGACAAGAAAAAGAGTTAAATGAATACATTGTCATTTGTAGCCAGGTTTTTTATGGTTTAACAATTGAAATGGTGCAAAAAATTGCTTTCAAATTTGCTGAACAAAATAAGCTGAACCATAAATATAATAGGACAACCCAATTTTCAGGGAAATACTGGTATTATTCCTTCATAAAAAGACACTTAAATGTTTCATTGAGAAAACCTGAGCCCACTTCGTTAAATAGAATAAATGGATTTAATGCAACAGAAGTAAAAATGTTTATTGAAAATCTGGAAACTTTACAAAGAAACTATCACTTTGACGTATATCATATATATATAATGTTGATGAGACCAGTATTTCTAATGTTTAACGAAATTTCAAAATCTTAGCCCCTAAGGGCCAGAAACAAGTTGGTATGGCAACCAGTTAGGAAAGGGGTTCAATAACTACAGTTGTTTGTGCATTCAGTGCTTCAGGAAAGTATATTTCTCCATCTTTTGTATTTAAAAGAAAACGCATGAATAATCATTTGTTGCGGGAAGGCAATGCTGATTTGCTTGCCATGGTCAGTGACTCAGGTTGGATCAATGAAAATTTATTTGTGGACTGGCTTAGTCATTATATTTTACTTGCTAAACCAACCAAAGACGAACCTGTGTTATTAGTCCTCGATAACCACGAGAGCCATATTAGCCTTGATTGCTATCTACTCTGTCGTAGAAATGGAATTGTATTGTTATCCCTTCCACCACACACTTCCCATAGAATGCAACCATTAAATTTAACATACTTTGGTCCACTTATATCTGCATACAACAGGGAATGTGACATTTTTACGGCAGAAAACATAGGCCAAAGAATTACTCAATATAAAGTTGTTAAACTATTTACAAAAGCTTTTAATAGTCTCAGTAATATTTAAAAAACAGCCAATGGATTTCGAGCAGCTGGTATTTATCTGTTAGATCCCACAAAATTTAATAATTTATATCCAATCACTATCATTACACCTAAAACGTCGTTACTTGATAACATTCAGAATTAAAAATTCTAGGTAAACACAATGAATCAATCAGATACTCAAGCAAAATCATCTGAAGTGTTAGTTATTCTGTCATTGAATCCGTCTAGTGTAGATCTGTCACCTGATGTGAATGTAGCCCCTGAACTGGTCTCAATTAGATCAAATCAGCCAATACCTCATTTAAATATTGTTTCTGTACCTAATATGCCAAAAAAGAAAACCAGAGAAAGTCTAAGAAAGTAACATTCGACTATTATCGCTAGATCTCCAATGTAAGATTTTTTAAAGGACAAGCAGTAAAAGAAAAGTATAAAGGAACAAAAAGTAAAAAAGACTGCTGGTAAAAAATGGAAGAAAGGGAGCAACTTTAACAAGTTTGAGGCTAATAATGTACCAAAGAAAAAGAAAACAACCAGAGACGATAAAGAAAATGATTACTATTGTTTATATTGTGAAGAGAAGTATAAAGATCCACCCACTGAAGACTGGGTTGTGTGTTACGTATGTAAATCCTGGTCCGACAAGAAATTCACAAGTTTCTCAAGCACATTCAGAGGTTTTCTCTGTGATTTTTGCACGTAATTAATGGGAGTAACATTTTTGTTCTTTGAATAACATTTATTGATATTTGACATTTTATTTGCTTTGAATAACATTTATTGATTTTGATTCTTTGGCGTTGATTTGTTTAAAATTGGATTCATTAACATTTCAGCGCTTCAATTAAGTTTAATTTGTTTTGAGAAAATTTGAGTTTATTTGCTATTACCCAACAGTGTTTGTGAATACCCCACAATATGTTTGGAATTACCCTACGTACGTAGGGTAATTCCGAACACCAATGGTTTTGTTTTTGAACGAATTTTTTATTTTATAATAAGATATAAGAAAATTGCTTTTGATTGTATCTAGACGAATGGTTAGACTAAATAATAAGCAATAAATATCATCAATATACAGTTATAGCTTTCTATTATTCTCATTCCCGCTTAGCTGTTTGCCAATACGCCAATACACCCCACTCTCCACTATTCTGAACTTCAAAGCAAGTTTGTAGACTATTGTTTTTATATAACATTTTTATTTATATGTTTATTTAGAACCGAATGAGAGCAATAACGAAAACAAACCTTATGTAAATTCAACATTTGAAGTAGTTGCAACTAAGATTCAATATTTAAAAGTTATTTTCAACTGGCCAATTATTTTATCAAAAAATAATAAAATAAAGAGCGTATATATAATTACAATAACTGTTAAAAATGAAAAGACAGAAAGGGTTTTGGGTTTAGTATGTTGTTTTTCATTTTTATTTTGTTTTTGTAAGACTTGTTTCAACAGCATTTTTAAATTTTTTTTGTTTTTGTTTAGGTGAGTGAAAACACGTTTACAGTTGAAGAGGATTTTCTTTGTAATAATCTTAATAAATATGTGGAAGGATCAGAATTTCAGTTAAACGTGTATCCAATTAACTTTAAAGAATACAATCAAACCATCAAGTTCTCTTCAAATTATACAAGTATGTTTTTGAAATATTAGGATATAAAATTAAAATGCCAGTTTGTTTAAATGGAACTGGGAACCATACTACAATACTTCAAAACACAGCCGATTTTTTATAGACGTACACTCTCACGTTTCACTGTTAACTTTAGAGATGTTAGTTGTTTTTAAACCTACAATCTTTTTTTACAAGTAGGTAAAAATAATAAATTTCAGTTCATAAAAGTTTTTTGACTATTAAATCTGATATTTTTTTTTAAAACAGTGTTTATAAAGATTTTTTTACCATTATTAACTTGCAAATATTGTTCCAATGAAAACATGTGTAACAAAAAAAATTCAAGGACCGTTATCAGCAGTCCGTTTTTACTTATTGTACGTGTATGCATTTGGTTAAGATTTTCCGATATATTTATCAAATGACCAATATTAGCCCGGAGTAATTCCGTACGGATAAAAACAAGGTGGACTAATAACTCATAGCCAATTAATGGTATTTAAATAACTTTCGACTATTACAAACATATCATCTAACCCTTTCATGTACAGGGTTGTTGTGCAACAACAAACTGAATATTAAAAGGACGCGCATATCAAAAGGCAACAGATTTTGGTTTATTAAACTAAAATCAAATGGGTTTTGGTTCATAATGAAAACTTTTTAATACCAGTTTTTTTTAATAAATAAGCATGAAATTAGGTTTCCTAAACTTAATCATATAACTTTCAATACTAAATTACTTTGATTTTTTTCATGTTGGGTAGCATAAACAGCCAAGTTTTTACAAGGTTATCGAATATATTAAAAAAATACACTTTATTTTAACAAGAGTAACCTTGCCAAGTCTGTATTTTGTTTTAAAGTACTAAGTAAAATAGAAGTATGAAAATTTTAATTCTAATGATGAAGTACATATGTTATTTGAGATAAAGTTTACATTCAAAATTTCCACAAATAAGGTTAAACAAGGTACATTACAATAAAAACTTTAAGATATAGAAAACCCATTTTTTGTTCTAGGTGATCTTTTTTTTAATAAATATAAATCAAGTAAGTGTAACAAATTATCTGTTCTAACATATTAGTTGGACATCCCAACTATTTTATTTGTTCCTACCAAATTAAAATACAACATTGATTAACACAAATCAAACAACATTAAGCAACTTAACATTATAAACGTTTGTTTTTTCACATCAACTTATCCAAATTTGTCACTTGTTTCTGTTTCATTGATGACACATTTTTAACGGTCAAAAGAGTCTAACCAATCAAAACTATCAACTACATTTGAAAAAGACGTTCTGGAGATCTGAAATTTATCATTTACTACCGCTATTAACGCGAACCAAATTTTAAAATACTTTAAAGACGAGCCGTAACTATTTGGTAAAACCTCTATGCAACTATTGTAAGTCCACAACAACATGTAGCAAAAATGTTTTAAAAGTTATCTATTTGATACAAAATAAGATACGCTAAATTTGGCTTACATTTACTGTGTAACATAGGAAAACCTGAGAAACTGAGTAAGTTAACTAGCATATTAACCCATTAAATGTAGATCCATCTATAGTAATCACAAACGGTTAGATTGCAAAATAATACCAACTATTTACATTTTTTAAAGGTCAAATTGCTACTCTAATTTTTCAGCGTTCAAAAATTGCGACTATGTTAAATTTCAGCATTTATCAATATAATTGCATCTATAAAAAATCAAAGTTTTTAATTATTAGTATGTAAGAATTGATTATTGATAAATATAAATATTTAACTATTTAAAAAACAAAAATCATACATTTGTTTACCGGATACTGCATATATAGCTAAATCGCATAAATTCGTAAGCTGTTTTGTGATAAAGGCTATATTTTACCAAACTCTAAAACAGACGAATCTAATTTATATTTATATTTTATGAAAATAGTTATAGGATGTGAAAGAAAGGTGTTTAATACAAAAAATTAAGACCTCAAATTTAGTGTAACTATTGAAAACATGGGAAAATATTATGACTATATCTTCACTAAATTTAGGAGAACAACCGGATTGCGCTATTCTAATAAATGCCTTGAACTGCTATCAAATAATAAACATGTTAATGCAAGTTTTTCCACTGATGTAGTTTGCATAACAAATTATAGTATTTTAGTTGTATATTTATTTTTATTTATTTATTTATTCTTTTCATCACCGAAAATTACAGGTAAAAAATACAGAGCTCATAAAACTAATAGTTTATACTCTAAGTTAAAATTCTAATTTAGATTCTTCTTGGAATGCTTTCTTCCATTTAATTTTTGAGTATCATTCTCTGCTCTCTGATGTTCCAGAATTAAAGGACTGGTTTAATTCTGGAACTCTGATGTTCCAGAATTAAAGGACTGGTTTAATTCTGGACACGTTTGATAATGATTTTTTCCCCCTTAATCAAACACTGCATGAAGCTTAGTTCCAGGCGGTTGCAAATTTTCATTATTTCGTTAATAAAGCAGTTTTCTTTATTAACATTAGATATTTGAGTTAAAATCAAGGAAAAACAAGTCGGATTGCTCAGTAATCTGATAAACAGATTCAATTTGTTTTGAACGAGGATGGTAGATACGTCATCGATTTTAAAGTAGGAATGCAGATAGTTTTTGCTGTACTTTGAAATGCTAAATAGAAATTTTAATGCTGATCATCCAACAGCGTCTAATTTATTAAGAAAAGTATTGCTATATTCACAAAGCTCTAATCCATATGATAGATTTGGAATAGACAGAAATTTGAACAAATTTACATAAAAGTCTATTAGATGTTTCTAAGCATATCGAGAGAATGCATACAGAAATGATAAAGAAAAACTAAAAGGAAAAATCTTACAAAGAGAAGATTTAAAGGATTAGTAGCTGTTCGTTTTAAACGATTTGTAGCTGTTCTTCAATAAATTTTTTGTAATATATTATTTTTATAAGTATATGCGGTAATTAAGCAATAAAACAATAAAACTAAAATTAATAATAAGAAATATAACTTTATGATATTGGTAAATACACTAATACTACTATGTAATAATAAGTATTTGTATATTTTAAGTTAAAACTATATAAGTAAACAAATTAATAACTTAGGATGGGATATATGGGATATAAACATGGAGTATAAGAATTAGAATAAAGCAACTGTATAAATTAAGATAGAATATGCACTAATAAGTTAATAAAGAATATAACAAAGACAAATTGGACCCTTTTAGACTAGTTAGTCGGCAATTGTTGTAATGGTAACCCCCACGTGACACCTACTCGCGCCGGCCCTATATATATATATATATATATATATATATATATATATATATATATATATATATATATATATATATATATATATATATATATATATATATATATATATATATATATATATATATATATATATATACATGGGCGTAGAGTACTCCAATTTTCAAGGGGGGCAAAAAGTTAAAGGTTCTATTTTTTGAGAAATATATGTCTACCGTCTAGTGTTTTTTTTTCTCGGTATAGAAATAAAAAATAATAACTTTGATTTTGGTTAACTAGCATCAAGAAATTAAAGAAAAACAATTTTATATCAATTTCTTATAGTTATAATTTGATGTAATTAGTCAATATTTTGTCAATGTTATGGATTTCTTATCAATAAGTAATCATGTCCCAACAAGGCAAACACTTTCTTGATATGATTTTTGGTTTATATGTAGTATATTTTATTTCCAGACATGTTATCACTTGTAAAACAAAAGTCTTTTTTAACATTGATGACCAAAAGTAATTTTGTATGTTGTATAATGTACATGTACGAATATTTATTATAAAAAGTTATAAGATATTTGATAAAGTTTGGTTATAAGACAACTCTAATAAGACAATAATGATGCTAAAAACTTAAATGGATTTCGCCATGATATATCCTCAATATGATGGTAAGATTGATTAAATTGAATTAAATCTCAACAATTTCTTCTTACGGTCAATGTTATTAGATTCAGTTCGATTACTCTTTCTTCTTATGGTAGGTGTATTATTTTTGGTATTAACTTAGTTTCACATTTTTGATTATATTAACATCTTTTTTAAAGTAAGGATTCCATTCTTAAACCATGAATTTGAGTTGTGGTCGTACGTATGCACAAATTAACTTCTTGAAAGAGTCACAAGTTTTATAATGAAAAGTATTGGCAATAATACCTAATTTATTATTTGGTCTTAAAGCTGCTGCTCTGATCTAAATAGTCTATTTTAGATTGTCTGATATCAAAATATCCAATGTTTTTTTAGTGTTTTTTGTTAATAATTTGGCTCTTTTTGTTAGCCATGTAATAATCGAAGTTTTCATTATGGTTCTCGAAGTGCATTATTTTAAATTTATCAAAATTAAAATCCATCTTCCATTTATTTTTTCAATCCATTAGCTTATCAATATCGTGTTGCATAACATCACCATAAAAAAATTAAAGGCTACAATAAAATTGTTATAATCTGCATACAATTTTATAATCATTATATATATATATATATATATATATATATATATATATATATTTATATATATATATATATATATATATTTATATATATATATATATATATATATATATATATATATTTATATATATATATATATATATATATATATATATATACATCATAATACTAAAATTACTTTTCAGCTTTTGCAAACTTCAAATTAACAAATTTTTCAATTAGTGGTCCAATATATAAACGAATTGATGATGAAAATTTAATAAAATTGGTTTGGAAAGTTCAATGGAGTTACCCAAAAAGTAATGCCTTTTTTGTTTGTTTATTTTTGTATTTATTTTTTATCTCAAAATTGATATTTGAGTGCATTTAGTTTCATAAGTGATTATAAGTAAATTCTCATTATAAGTAAAACAGATATTTGAGTGCATTTGTCTCATTATACAATAATGATAGTCAATGCAATCCAGGGATGGATCTAGACCATTTAGTAAGGTCATAGTGGTGTGGCAATTTTTAGGTTTTCTTAATTCGGTGGAGCTAAGCCATTTAGGTTTTTTTTACAAATGTGCTAGCTGAAGACTTAAGACCTTTGATCCTAACCATTTCAACGCAACATTTTGATTTCAAAACTTTTCAATTGAATTCTATATTAGGCCCAACAAGCACTCTGGATCTTTTTTAGCTGAATCTCCGCAACACATTTCTTTTCAAAGATAATATTAATTTGCCTGCACCAAAAAAAAATGAGTTCATTTATGTCTAACTTAGAATTACGCTGTAGAATCTTTAAGCCCTCCTAGAATTTCTTTTCTTTATCTCTACAATATTTTAAAAATGACAACCACAAAAAACTAAACATGCATTTCAAATATATCGAATAAGTTAGTTGTTTTAAAACTTTAAAAATTGTAAAATGTTACGAAACATTACAATCTATATATATTGAGGGATGAATCTTCAAATACCAGAAACTAAATCACATTTGTCATTTTATTTTTATTTAGATTCATTAAACACCCACTAGAAATGATAAATATAAAAAATCTTTGAATTTTATGATGAATATAAAAAGTCTATAACAGGAAAAGCACAGACAAATCCAAAACTCATCTATTGATATATAAACATAAAACTTAAAGTTAAAAATTAAGTATGATTTACAAAAGAATCAAATGGTAACAACTAAATAAAGCAATATAGCTAAAATCCTTAACAATTTCTTTTCATCTTTAACATCACACCTCTTCACAAAAATGGATCAAAACTTGATTCATCAAACTACAAAACCATGTTTTTAATATCTGTCTGCTTCAAACTCTTAAATCTTTTTGTAAAAGATTGTTTAACCAAGTATCTGCTAATAGTCTTTTATATCTAAATCAACACAGTTTTGTTCCAAATAAATTATCTACTACCAATTTATTAGAAACTGTAGATTAGATATTAAATTCAATGACAAGAAGCTATAGTGTAGATGATATATATCTAGATTATGAAAAAGCGTTTGACACACCTCCTCATGATCTTATGCATTACAAACTTTCTGGTTATAATGCCTCTTATATATTTTTTATATTTAATTTTTATTTAATAATTCAGTAATTAATTAGATGATAAATAAAAAAAAACGATATTTAAATGTTAAAATATAATCAATCGTTCTAATAAAAAGAGATTATTTTAAAAACTGTTATATATCACACTGTTGTTTTCTAAAATCGAATGATCTTAATTATATTATTATAAAATTTCATTCATTTCTCTCATTCTTTATTATCAAACGTTCTAATAAAATAACAATACATTAAAAAAATAAGTTTCTTTTAATGGATTAAATATGCATAATTTAAATTAATAAGATAAATATTATAATGTTTTTAATGCATTTAATCTATAAATTTAAATGTATTAAAATTTAAAAGCAGTTTCTTCACAATCACTCAATTCAGATGTTTCCCACTTATTTTCACTGCTTAAACTATCATAAACAATGTCGTCCTTTACGTCATTTACTATTGTAGCCGCATAAATTTTTAATAAATAAGCAAAAATAGCTTTTTTCCGTTTTTGTAAAAATTTATAAGTAACCCATTCTATTACATTTTTCTTATCATTATGACTAATATTTGGATCATTGATTTTAATGGCCAAGATAGCGTTAAGTGTTTTGTATAAAGAAAAATACAGGTGAGTTCCGGCACCTTTTTTTTAGAAAAAAAGCGCTGTATATATATATATATATATATATATATATATATATATATATATATATATATATATATATATATATATATATATATATATAAATACATATATATATATATATATATATATATATATATATATATATATATATATATATATATATATATATATATATATATATATATATATATATATATATATTTACATACATGCAATTTTTTATTTTAGATTTTGAAAGGGATAAAATTTCAATATTATTTGCATCCAAAGATTGTTCAAATGGTGACATATTTTCAAAAGATTTTAATTTGGTAAGACTATATTTGGTTTCAATATTCTTTGTTTTCTGAACATGGTGTCTGTTGCACAGATTAACTAATGGCGCGTCTAATAATACAATTTTCTCTCCAGGTAAGTCATTGGTCTAAAAAAAATCCTTGGTCAGTAGCAAGAATATTACAGTATCAAGGGTTTGCCTTAATATTAGTTGACAACTCTATAAATTCTATAAACTCTATAATATTAGTTGACATCTCTATAAATTAGTGAGTGTGGCGAAAAATTAGTGATTGTGGCATTGTCAGAAAATTGGGTTTGTTAATGTGTGTTTTAAACATGAAAATAATAAAGAGTATTTTCAAATTAGAATACTGGATAATGATAGCCGCTTGTAAGGTACTTGCTGAAAATATGTCAATGATAAGATTAATAGATATGACAATTTTGAAACAAAATATTCTGTGTTGGCTGCTACTGTCAGGTGTTGGTATTTTAGTAGCAAAAAACTGGAAAGAAAATTATAAATCAGAAATCATGTTGCTAAGATAAGGCAAGTGAATGAAAAAAAGATGGTATTAAAATTAGATATTGGAAGTTCAATTTTTAATATATTTTTAGTATATGAACCTCTAACAGTTAGGAATTCACTCCCAGCAAGGTTACAAGCAACCACTATTAAGTTGGGAGTTACTCGAAAAAAAAAATAGAATTAAAGAGCTAAGAAATGGTTTATTAAAGAATTATAAAGTTATAGGTTGTATGAGTTAGGAAAACATAAGGAAGGGTGAGATTTCTAATGGGTTATGCCTGAGATGAAAACTAGGCAAAGTTTTGAGAGAATGTAAAGGCAGTGTAAGTAAATGAACGAGACTTCGATGAATGATGAGTTAAGGGAGAATTAAGCCGCGATCATGCATTTGTAGAAAAGATAAAGAGATGCAATTTTAAGATGATGGGAGAGAGGGTTAAACTTAGCTGATAGAGCGAGTCCAACTACTTTTACAATATGTTTTTAGGTGAATAAGAGGTTTGTATACGTAAAGAACAAAATTAGGAGTAAGAAAATGGAGAGCATGATAAAGAGAAGCAACCTTAAAAAATGGTATTTTAGCAATGGATTTAAAATATGGTTTCCATGAGAGGTCAGTAGTGAACAATAATCCAAAAAGACATTAAGAAAAAGACTCCATTCATCAATATAGGAATGTTGGCAGTATTGTGATCAGGGCTTATTCAAAAATTTTGACGGCGGTACCTCCTTGTTCCGGGAAACCTTAGCAGAAAATCAGTATTTTTTCTTAGCAAAAAAAGCAATAATTGGAGTAAAAAACGTTAAAAAAAAAGGTCCTCTTATTTTAATTTGGGCAGAGCCCAAACTGGTACCCCAATATTTTTGATGCTGTGCAAAACAGTCTGGAATAGCTCCTGTCGATAGTTATTTGCAGTAAAAAACTGCATAATTTAAATTAATGTTTGGAGATTTTTAAACTACTGTAAGTCTCAATCTGTTACAGAAGTGAGAACAGATTCGAGATTGGCTACCTGTTCTATGCAATTAAAAAGAGTAGACTTTTTATCAAGAGAGGAGTATAAATTTGAGTCATCAATAAATAGCGTCACTTTAGATGTAAGGTTGTCAGGAAAATCATTGATGCAGATAAGAAACAAAACTTGACCAAGGATAAAACCTTGAGGTGCCCCAGTAGTTACTAAAGTGAAGAAGTGTATTGAACTTCAAGAATAACTTTGATAAGGCGATCAGAAAAAATTGATATGTTAATCTCAAAAACTTACCCAAATACAACATAAGAGATAGCAAGAAATATGGTTTATGATATTCTTGGTTTATAAAAAGAAATCAACAAAGATTAACTTACGATTAAGGTATTTTAAAGACAGATGTTGACTTTGTCATAATCAGAAAGTGAGATAAAACATGAAAACAATAATAATATAAGATGAAGCTTATTTTACTAACTAGTTCACTGTGACATCTAGTAGAAAATCTGAAGAAAATCTTTTTCAGTAAGTACAGAATATGGACAAGGCAGAAATACAAAATATCTATTTTGATTTGAAAATTTAAACATGTGTAGAAAAGTTGAAAAGAAAATCTATAAGGTAAAACATAAGAAAAGCTCTGCAGAAGTATCTAAGAAACCATATGGCTTTCAGAGTCTGTTATAGGGGTAAAATGCATATGTAGACATAGTTGAAAGAAAAACAAAGAGGGTTTATAAATTGTGGAAAATGTTTCAGATTGAAAAAGATTATTGGTTCTTGTAATGCTTAACTAATTACAAGGCTAATTGGTTTAATAATTGGTTAGGAAAAACTGGTTCGGAGGAGAATCTATTAAAACGGAAAAGAATCTATTAAAAGTTCAGAAAAAAAAACACATTCATTTGCTACTGAAAGTTTGCTTTATTCGAAAATTATATTATATTAATTTTTAGAACTTGTTTTAATCTTTTGATCATACGGATACTCATATTGCCATGTGTTTTTAAATACTTGTAAGCAATGTAAGTTTATTTATTATCATTACAATATTAATACAATGCGTATATTGTCAGTGGAAAACCCAGAGTTTATTTGGGGATACAGCTTTTTTGTCGACAGCGTTAGGAAGGGTAGGGGGTTAGTTTGAGTTCCCACTCCCTCCTCCATTACTTCAGTTAAAACCGGTGCCTTAACAATGACTTTTAATCATCATTTTCTCAATCATCATTTGTGTTAATCTTGTTTAGATTTCTCCTAAGATTTAAACACATTTCTTTGAGTTAAATCAACTTTACAACTCAATTTGCTGCAAATTGAATTCAGAACATCAAGACAATTAGGACATTGTTTTAGGCCAAAAGCTTGAAATTTCTTTTGATTGCAATAACATTCAACTTTACATTTAATATATTTTTCTTTAGCTTCTTATTTCCTTTTTTTGGCTTACACCTTTGCTGTTATCTTTCGTCGTTTCTCTTCTTTTATATATTTCACTTTTGCTGCAACATCTTTTGCACTCCTTGAACCATAGATCCAAGTAACACGAGTATATATTTTTTCAAGATTAGGTTTGATTTTTTTATTAGTTAGCAGATCAGGAATATTTTTTAATTGGAGGCTTTGTCAGCCATTTCTCTAATCAAGATTTGAGAACGGTCAAACTTTTACTTAAGGCTTACTTTTTCCTCAAATAGATTTTAATTTTTCCTGCCTAAGCTGAAATTTTTGCTTCATTTTTTAAGTTATAATTTTATTACTCTATTTGATTAAAAAAATTATCGTTAAACATTTTAGAAAACATTAGTCGCTTACAGAACATATCTAAATACTAAAAAAAAACTTTTAAGTAAAAATTTAGGTTTTGCACTAGGTTAAAATACTAAGTAAGTTTTAATAAACTCTTGCAATTATTATGTTCTAAAAATGTTGTTGATTTTTGAAACGTAAAAAACGCAAACTTTGTTTAAAACACTGCAATGACATCTTTAGAATCAAGAGATTACATAGAATCAATGTAGTAAAAAACGAGAACGCACGTATAACCTATAAAATGTTATTTAAAAAACATCAATGTTGTTTTGGGGTACCTATCTTGTGGTTTTTGTGGTGCATCAGGTATTTTCTCCAAGATTAAGTTAGCACTAACTAGTTTTATTTCAAACAGATCAAATAATATCAGGATACGCCAAATTTCAACTTCATAGGTTCACTAGTTGCAGAGATACAATCGATAAATTGAACAACACTATTTCTTAAAAAGTAATCAAACTAGCTGGAAAGAACGGCTTTTAAGCAACTCTAAACACATTCAAAACAGTTTTTCTCAAAAGCAAATAATAAAACAGTTATTGAGATGTGCTTTATAATGTATTTTAGCAGTACGTATACGTGTAATAAACCTATTTACTATTATTTTAATTTTGATTTAAATTTTAGCAAATCTAAAGTTTAAACTTTAGCAAATAAAAATTTAACTTTAACTAAAGGTTATTAATTTTTAAAGTGATTTTAAGGCGTCCTTTAAATTAAAGATAATTCAAAAAAAGATAGTTACGGTTAACATGATTTTTAAAACGTTATATTTTTTTATTAAAAAACATTACATTTAAAAAAAAATATTGTTAATTAATAATTATTCAAAAACTAAATTTGCGTATTTATTAAGACTAAAATTTTTTACTTTAGTTCATTTATTATCAAAAGCAGTTCACACGTAATTGCCAATAAACAAAAGTTACGTTTACTGTGATTTTAAAACTGTTTCTCTTTCGAAAATACAAATTTTTTATACATTCCATTGTTATTAAATTTTGCAACAAGTTTTAAAAACTAAGTTTTGTAACGACATTCATTTTTTAAAAACTAAGGTTCAGTTTTAACTGAAGGGCAGTTACGTCATGTAATTATGTAATAAAGCAATGAAAAATGGGGTAGCTAAAATAAACTGAAAATTACTTATATACTGCTGCATTTAAATCTGAAAACCTTTATTCTATTTTTAATAAAAAAAAAAAAAAAAATTAAAAAATAAAAATAATTTTTAGACGCTTTTTTTGGGCGCTAATACCGCTCAAGCAGTACTAAAACAAGAGGTGGGTTCGTTCTTGATTGTAATAATTCAATTGAGTTAATAATTTTTCACGGTTTGTTTTTTCCAGTTAAAAAGATAATTTAATCTGCATTTGTATGAAATATTATAATGGTTATCAAATAATTTTTATCCGCAATAAATAAATTCAAGGAAGATTATCCTATTACTGAAAATTTTGAAAAAGCAGAGCAGAGTGCAGAAAAATGAACTGATATTATGGTTTTTCACATATTGTTTATTCAACACAGTAAATCGCTTCAAAAATCAGTATTTCTCAAAATGCAGTTGTTAGAGCATTCCTAAAAAAACATGAAACTGCCTATAATTAGAGTTAGTATAGTTCTGGGAGACCTAGAGTAATGTTGAGTAATGAAGACAATGTCAATACTGTTTGAAGTAAAAGTCATTCTCACACTGCTCTTAAAATTTGCAACAAAC